TTATAGTTACTGCTAGAACTATGTAGGTGCTAGGCCTGTTGAAGGAAGATGATGAATGAAAATATGAAATCTCTGTTTTGTCTATTTGCCTGTTTTCATCTTTGGAATGCTGTGGATAGCTGAAAAGTAGCATGTACACAGGAGATAGTGACTACATATGTATATGTCAGGTAGCTTTTCATATCTAGCTCCTGATGATGTGTACAGAAGAAAATCCAAATGACATTTGTATTGATATAATATGGGTGTCTGTGCCATCCCTACATAGAGAGTGCTAATGCACTCTCTGATACTATGATGGTGTCTTTTTAACTTGAGCTAATTGTTGATAATTGTTAAGAACAAATATTTCAAGTTTGCTAGAATAATTTGTTATAGTTATTATAATTAAAGTTGGTTATAATAGATTTTTACATTGCTGAAATGTAAACATAGAAAAATACACAATATTCTGTTAGTATAGTCTAAGTGACATTTGTTTATTATATATAGAACTCCATGCGTGCTGTAGTAGAATATCATGGGACTGCGTGTGATGCTTACCCACCCATTGGTATCCTTCTTGTAAAAGGAAAAGAGGATTTAACCATAAAGGTACAGAAATTCTATTTTTTTTGTAAATATTTGAAGATAAAGACCTAACTATCAAATGTACTTATGTTTCATTTATTTTATTCTGCCACGTTTTCCATGTATTTGAGTGTAGTGTCAGGTATTCAAGATACAAATCAAAAACTTTTATTAACTTTTAATAGCTAAATTTGATGTATTAAAGTAATGAAAATTTTAAATACAAGTATTACAACATTCTTTACCAATAGAATGAAGTATCATTGATATTACACTATCGTGGCTTTATTTGAAATGTGTTGGCTGTATATGAATAAGATCACTTAATTCATTTCAACCCCAGTAAGTTTACATTGCTTTGCTGACATGTAAAAAATAGCTCCTATGCAATACTGGTCACACTGGGCTTTTATTAGTAGGATGATTCCTGTAATTGACCAGGAATAGGAATTTCTCTGAACATCTGCAGATTTGTGTGTTTGTGTGTGTATGTGTGTGTTGGTGATAGTGATGGAGGTCCAAGATTGCATTTGAGATCAACACAAGTTGTTGAAGAAAATGTTAGAGGGGCAAGAGTAAGGTATTATATTTTTGTCTGATTCTTGAGCTAGAGCATCCAGAGAATTTTTTTAAAATGTGCTTAGAACTGTCAGCAGTTAAAGTGATTAGTGGCATTTCTTGCTTTATAAGCTGTTGAGTGTTTGTTCTGAGTAAAATATTTAGAGGACTTTGTGTGTTAACTAACTGATTGCAGTGTTGCCTTATTTTCTGCTGTGGAACACTATATGGTAGCAAGACATTGATCTGATGTCATTCAATAGTCAATATATCCAGTGAATTATATACTGGTTTGTAGTTGTTGAATTATGTATATGAACTTGTGTTTGATAAAGACTGTAGTAATTTCCTTACACTATAATAAGTTCAGATGTTTTGAAATCTTCAGTCCCATCTTTTGTACTCTGGTCGACTTGTCTCAACCTTTTAATTCTTTCAGCATGGGGTCTGTCCCACTTAACCATATTGTGCTTGTTATAGTTTTCATGCTATAATTTTTAATACAGTAAGCGTATCTTCACGAAATTTTGCAGATCTTCAGTAAACATCACAAGGCTTTTGTACACAAAATTTAATTTTTGTTTTATCATTAACTTTTAAGATTTCATAAGTAATGTTTTTATTGTACCTTTCTTACTTTTCGAATGTTGACTATCCAACATGCAAAGTAATTTTGATTAAAAATACTTTTATGTATCAGAACATTTTCATATTTCACATGCAAAATCTTTATAACCTCCAGATAATTATCAAATGTTTTTTAGAAAAAAGTTTGTATTTTTCCTGTTATTTTCATTACTGTATCTCTGCATGAGTTGGATCGATTTGACTGACATCATAACCACCATAAAAAATTAGGAAATAAAAATAATATACGCTTTTTTCATTCTAGAATGACTACATATTATAACACAAAAACACAAATGTTTAGTCTAACTAGTTGAAATCTCATACATTTATTATTTTTATCATATTGATCTTTCTGCCTTGCCTGGCTAACAATAGCGTTACAGAAGTTGCAATGACTCAACGCACATGCACTCATGTTACCTGTATCCTAGAGTATAAAACTGGCCTTTACAAAATGACCTTCAAAAAGGCTGAGAAAGCCACTTGGGGGACATTCTGAGCTTTTGATTGGTTATTCATACATCTCAGACAGAGGTAACTGTACATGAGCAAGTGTTTCCAAAAATTGAAAGAGGTGGGCAGGGCCACTGTGTTTTAAGTCAGCATATGTAGCGATATCTCAGCAAATAGAAAAGATAGGAGGTTCTTATTTTATATTCTAGCTTGTCAGTATTGGTAAATTGAGTTCCTAATTCGTATGAAACTATAGTCTTTGTATTAGGACATCACAAACATCTAATTTTAACCAATGCTGCATTCAACATATCACATGACACACAAAAATCGATATTTAGGTGTTTTTTTAATATTATATTTATTTTTGAATTAAGAAATTGCCTACTGTATAATATTAAAATTTGAATTATATTCTACAATTTGTTACCAAACATTGATATAAAGTCATAAAATGGTACTTGAATAAAAATTTTGAATGCAACTCAACAAATGTGATGGCATGGCCTTTGACCCGTATTGATAGATTTAAATAACCAAACACCTGACCTTGCATTCTTCAACTATCGTAGAAGACTTCTTACTGGCAGATAATGAAGATCTTATTCCTATAACCCTTGAGAAATCACTTGGTGACTAATGGAGAAGGTTACTCAACCATCAACCATTTGCAACTTAATGGAAAACCAAGTGGAGCCATTAACTCAGCTTGGACATACCCTACAGTATTATCCCAGGGGTGGGAATTTCCCCTCTATATATGGTTTTCCATCTTAGAAATTCTGGGTGAACTTTGAAAAATTAAAAGCTGTGTTTCGTGTATTACTATACATACAAATCATATTTTTGTTTAGTTTTATAATACACCCCTAGGTGGCAGATTTTATTTATTTTAACACTTATTTATTGCCCTCTTTTTTTCTTCCTTTTTTTTTTAAATCCACAATATTATTGACCATGTGGCTGTATGATGGAGGTTTTGCCATTTTGGTTTTCTTGAAACACAAATGACACAACACTCATTGATAAGTCTGTTAAAATTATATGACATTAGCAATGGTGCAATGAAAGAGATTTTTTTAAATACGCTATATGTACAGTGGGTAAAGAAACAGCACAATGGCCTCCATTTTAAACTATCTATATACTATTAAAACTGTGAGATTGTTTGTTTGTGGGCTTGTCTGTAATTAGATGCAGCAAAAACAGTGCACAATAGCACCATATTTGTAATATAATGAGAATAGAAACAGAATAAAACAAGTTACCGAGTTGGCGCCGTTTTTCGGGTCACTTTTATGAACATTTCTATCATGAGTAATTTCAAATCACACTACTGTTCATGCTCTTTACAAAACTTCTTACTTCACTTTTTTGAAAAAATGAAATTGTCTTTTCTTTTACTCCCAATCAAGAATCAAATATCTTTTCTTGAATTATGAATAACATGAATGGATTGAAATATTTAATTAAATTATCTCAAAATAAACCTTCATTTCGGTGCAATATTGAAATTATCTTGAATTCTTCATAACCTCTGTATAGTGGGTGACCTAACGGGTCACGGTGGTCTAGGCAGCACTAAAAATCCTGAACCCCATAATGAAATGGATCTTTAGTTTCCATTGAAATTAGTTAACAAAAGTCAAAATTAGTGATACCTTATCTACTTTCTTCCCAATACTAGCAGGAGTTCCCCGAGTGTCCATACTAAGCCCCTTATTATACATTTCATTTGTAAATGACATTCTGTTTCCACCTTTGTATTTCACACACACATGTCTCAGTATGCCAATGATGTCACTGTTTGGAGCATGTCATGTGATCCCATGCTTGAAGAATCAAAAGTTCAAACATCTCTTGACTAAGTTACCTTTTGGTGTAACAAGTGGCATGCAGCACTTAATTCCACTAAGACTCAAACTAATTGCAAAAAAAACTATCCCAAGCTAAACCTAAACTACATGATGAACATTTTAAGTTCACGACTTCCATCAAATTCTTAGGAATAACATTTATACCTGCTTATCATGGAACAACCACTTAATATATTTCAGCAAGTCAGCAATAGAATCAGCTAACTCATTAAAATTGGAGGACTTATCTCTAGATGCAATTCACAGTTAATATTGTTAACCTACATAGTCCACATCCGACCATTATTTGAATATAAGAATATGATTACATGTTCCATGTTTTACAATTTATGGCTAAAAATTCAGAATTATCAGAACCAAATTATAAGAATTGTTTTCAGGTTACCTATGTATACTCCCGCCCAATATTGAAACTCAATAAGCAAGATATTAACGATTAATGGAAGCTTTCAGAAATTAGCCATTGAATTTTAAAGAAAATAAAACAACCAACCAAAATATAGTAAAATCAGAATTCTCATCTTTAGTAGCTACTCCTGAAAGTTGGCAGCAATATGTATATTCCTGCAACCTGATAAAACCACTTGTTCATGTACCACCCAAAATTAACAGGTAATTACTACAAACAGCCCACATCAATTTCTTAACTCGTGCTTCACATCAAGTTATTATGTTTTATGTCTAATAATTTCTTCTTCCAATGCAGGTTAGCACAGGTAATGGTTGGGTAGATCATTCGGAGTTTGACCAGTGAAAATGTGTTTTTCTTGGGGGTCCTGCTATTTTCTCCTGCATTAAAATTATTGTATCAACGTTGTATTTCTTTATTTTATTTTGGAGAACAGTAAAATGGTGTAAACAAATGAACATCAATATTTGTTTCCAGCTGGTAGGTTTTGAGTCCTTTCATATGTTGTAAAGTCAGTCATGTCTATTTTGTTTCTCTAAGTGAGGCAAAAAGAGATCATTTGAGTTCTAAGAACCCTTATATGCATATAATCTAAATACCTGACAAGAAGAAGAAGGGTACAGAAAACTGACATTCCTGGATAGTGTTTTCATATTGTTTGTAACTGTTGTCTGAATTATGAAAGCAATGGCAAAAAGGTCTTCATAATCACCATATGAAAGATGAATGGCATATCATATTTCCAGCACAGCTAATTAACCAAACCATTAAAGATGCCAAGCCAAATACAGGGAGGATATGGACAAAAGATTGTGTGGCATTTGTTAGTGAACACTGTTTGGTATTTACCATGATTCTTGATCTAATTGATTTCTGCAAGCTAGTTTTGGAGAATAAAGAAGCACTCAAGAAACTGCACTTGTGAAGGAAGTGTAGAACATGTACAAACTCACACAGGTGGGCAAAAGCTTTGAAAACCAGAGTTGTGTGGTGCTTTATAAAATTTTATTGTTAAATGTGCAAGAAGCCACTAACTTCTCAATGAATAAAATCATAGATATTCAGGTTTGTTTCTACGAAATGAAGGGGAAGATAGTAATGATGATATGGCTTCTGCAAAACACGATATAGCTACAATTCTCATTATCCATCAAGGTATCAACAACATCATGCAGACTATTGAGCTGCAGTGGTAGTCGGCATTCTCAAGGACATCTTTGCTACAATGAGAGGTTGTATGGTTGTAAATATTTGCAAAGTAGAGTGGTCCACACCTAATTGATATTGCTGGTATTTTTCCTTTTGCCGTAACTAAAATGGAAATTTTATCAAAACATATTTACAAAAAAATTATGTATAGATTTGTATGAAAGTAATATATTTGTTGTAATGCTGTTCTTAATAAATTTTTTTTCTTTTTAATGTCAACATGGATTAAAATTGTAACATTTATATGAATTGCTGCTTTAACATCCACAGTTTAATACTGATATTAATGCGGTAATTTATACATACATTTTAATACTGGTAAGTCTGAAGGCTTGTAATCCTAAAAACCGGGTTTAAGTACCATACCAGTTGTGGATACAGCACAGATAACCCATTGTGCAACTTTTTGCTTAATACCAAACAACTAAACAATGTCTTTACTGTAAAGCAATGCTGTAGTTAAGCTTGCTACTTTTTTTTTCTGTTGCTCATACCTGCCTTTAAAGCTGTAATCAGCATTTTTAATCCAGGTCTGTTTCTTAATCAAATCAAGCTTATCTAATAATGAAAAAAGTAGCTTTGTTTTTTTGAGTTACATATAGAAAACTTTATGCTCTAACTGTAAAGATGCAGTAAGTATACTGTACACTGCTAAATTAAGTGGTTTTTAACACCAGTTATTTTATAAAACAATTTCTTACTGAAAACAAAAAGTGAGAGAATGAATAATGCTTAATTATTCAGATGCTATTTAAACTGTGATTGGATGATACAGAGCAATGACCTGTTATTGTAATGAAGTAGTCTGTGCTGCTGCTTTTTTTGTTTTTCATTTGCTTTGCTGTACTCCAACCCCTGTGACCCAGAATCATTTATATCAAGTGTGATTGTTTCCATTACTTCTATAGAATCGTCTTCCACAGCAATGACATCACCACTGTTAGGGAAGGGTTTAATACCTGTACAGTTTCTGATTAATGGCTGCCTGTTTGCTGGCGAGCAAAGGGATGAAATGTTTTCTCACGGACAGTGTAATGATTTCATCCCCATTGCCACCAGAATGTCATACTGCTAAGAAAAGAATGGGAAGAAGGAAAAGGATTGTATCATTAGCATCAAAGACATTCATTGTTCATATATAAGTGAGCCCCAGCTACCATTCTAGGGTATCTTACTGTTTGGTTTGTTGAAGGATATTGTTAATAATGTCAAGATCAAGTTGCCTGATGGACAGAATCATGGACATTAAACTGCCTGCGGGGAAGGTCAAATGATAAAAGAACAGTATCTGGATTTGAATGATTGATGACATTAACAAGAAATAGCATATTTTAAGAGCTAAGGGGTTCCTCCAAAAAGTAACCATTTGTGGGGGACGATGATGGTCTTCTCTCATTGCTCTAGAGGTGTAGTGTGAATATTTGTACATATGTGTGTGTGTGTGTTTAATACTCTTGGTGTAACTGTTTAACCACTTTTGGAATTTTATTCTATTCTCTGTAAAATTGAGTTGCTCTGAGTTTGTTTGTTCTGTAATTTTGAGTTTACCTATTATAAATTTCTTTTTATCTTGTTTCAAATTCTCATTATTTCTATTATCATATCCAGTTTTGTTCTTTGTGTAAACATAGCTAGTTCTGCAGAATAGTTTTTTAACTTGCATGTTTTTTTCCCATCTAAATAATTGTACAAATGTATTTTTCTTAGTGTGCAATTCTACTTTGTTTTGTGCCTGTTTTATTTTGCCCTGCATTTTACCATTATATTTAGTTCTGTATCAATTTCAAATATGTTCAGTTAATTCAGTTTTATTATTTCATTTTTTGTGCAGTTTCACCCAATTTCCCATAGAAGTTTTGTATTTTATATAATTGCCAGCTTTTATTTGACAATATTTTGTGCTCAGTTTATTCTGAATTTTACCCAGTTTTGTATAGTATTTATTTGATTTTGTGTTTTTAATTTTACCTATAATTTATTTTCTTCATGAAAAATCTGATGTCCAGTAGGGGTTATCTCACAACATTTGATAAAACCCGAGGACAGAATTGTTTTAGATGTTAATAATATTGTAATAATTAGATGTAAATAGGCTTTGGGACTTGAAACTTCTAGCTATAGAGCCAGTGCTGTTATCACCGAAATACTTAAGAGTACGAGTAGTCTCCATCAATGTTCACTCCTAAAACTTCCCACCATGAGTTTGATCATCATACTACATTAAGATAAGTACACAAACCATATCATAAAGGTCTGTCACAGACTTAACAATTATTTTTTAAATTCTGTTAAGAAACCACTTTAATAGCCCTTTATCTCGGTTAGTAGAGTACTTTCATGATTTGTGAGAAGTCATTTGTACAGAGCTGTTGTATTTATCTTTTTGTACTGTTAAAATTTTTCATCTTTTTGTATTCAAAAATTGGACAAACTAAATTTTATTTAAAAAAAAAGTCTATGCTAGTTCAAAATAGTTCCTACATTTCTCTCCCACTTGTGTGTGAAGGTTAAAGTTTTCTGTGTGTTTTTAACCTTTTTTTGTTTTCCTCATCCTTGAATAACATAATTCCATTCACTTGAAATATTACTAATATGATTGAGGGAATTTTCTTATATTTTCATATTCAGCAGTCAGCAGTTTTTTTTGTATACACTTTTATCATTTTGAAGCATCATTATATATTTAGAAAAATATGAGCATTTTTGTATTTTAGGAATCTCCATTTTTGGATTCTAAAACCTTACCCTACAGCAGTGGCTCCCAGATTTTTTTCACTGATGATACCCTAACTCAGTGGTTTTTAACATGGGCCATGCCATGTTTCTAAGGGGCCTCACATGAATGATAGAAAATTAGGGGGCCACAGTAAATTCTGAGTGGGCGACCAAAGCTTCACTGCCTGAATAAAATATTTCAAATTGAATCAAAGGTTCCCTTCTCCCCATATCCCTTACAGCTCTGAAGTCAAGTTACTAGACGTGACTAGTAGTCGAGTAAACAATCAAAATTCCGGATTGGTTGGTGGATCCATTTGGGGTGAATGCAGTTGATGTTGATATCACATTACAAGAATGTCTCGTCGAACTGCAGTGATATAACAGCCCAAGCTAGATTCAAATGTGACAAACATTATTTCTGGATTAGTAGTGAAATAGCTAATAAGTGTCCACAGCTCTGGGAGAAGGCAAAGTTGTATTTTAACGCTTTTCCCAAATCTTATCTGGTTGAATCTGGTTTTAGTCAGGTGACTTATTTGCTATCAAAACTACATAACTGCCTTGAAGTTGTGAAAAAAAGTGATCTTCACTTATCATTGACCACACTGGAACTGGACATTCAGAAACTTTCAAGTGTTCATCAGGCCCAAGGATCACACTGAATAAAATGTCGATGATTAACAGAATATTTTTTATTTGTATATAAGTAAACAGTATGTTATAAACAAAATATATATAAACAATACAATATTGTAAAAATAATATTATAATATTATGAATATATTATAAATCAACAGTGTGGAAATAAAGTAACTTTTTTCTTAAGTAACAGCATCTAAGAAGGGTGGGGCTATAGAGATAAATCAAACTCGAAAGGGAGCCACAAGCAAGAAAAGGTTGAGAAACACTGTGGCCTAACCCACTTACCTTGATTTGTGTGACACCCATGTTGCCACATTTATTTATGTTCTTGATTATTTGTTTGGTTATACTCTTGCAATACCCTTACCAAATTGTTACCACACACAGTTTGGAAACCATTGCCATGTAGTTTGTGTTCTAAGTGTAATATGTGCCAGTAGTGAAGACATGATGTTAGTTTAGTTTTAATATATTTTTTGTTTTAGGTGTCTGATAGAGGAGGTGGAATTCCACGTGCCCACACTGACTTGTTGTTTCAGTACATGTTTTCCACAGCTCCGCAGCCATGCTTGTCAGGTTCTAACTCTGCACCACTAGTATGACATTTTGTTTATCTTGTAATGGCTTTGAATAAATCTTTATTTTGTGATATACTTTAAAACTTCCTTATTTTTATTACTTCAGTAATATTTACAAATATGAACATTTGTGTTTTTAATTAAAAGAATATTTCTCATTGTTTAATGTTTGGAAACATTAGTTGTATTACAGTGTAATATTTAAAAAAAAAATTGATGACTTGAAAATTGATTATACATTGTCAGTCAACTTTTAACTTAAGCCTATAAGATATTAATGAAAATGAAAAATATTCATTATGAATTGAAAAATTAAGCAATTGTCTGTCAATAACACATTTAGTATAATGAGAACATTTCTTCAGTATTAATTAAGTTATAAAATTTGATTTCATGTTGTAGATGAGAAACATTTAATATATTTACAGCAATTAAATTTAATGAATAAGAAGCAAGCAATACCCAAAACATTTGATGAATTATAAATGTTTATAAAAATTAATTTTGTGCTAAGAAAACATTAGATATTAATAGTAGTTAAAGATTTAAGAGAGAAAAAAAAAAGAGGATCAAAATATTGACCAAACAACCCTTAAATGGTGAATTAAACTTTGTTGAATGGATGGCAACTGCCTGTTGTAGAAACACAAGTGTAGAGGACAATGCTTTGAAAGTCTGGGTTAGTTTATCCCTGTTTCTGATTGGAGGAAAGATTTCCTGTAGATTCAACCAATAGTAGCCACAGGTTACTCACCTCTAATCCGGAATCTCTGGTTAGTGAAGGTTTAATTGTGTTAATGTAAGAATGATTCTTGAATTTTTCTTGTCTTCCAAAATTTGTCTGTGTCGATGATTCTAGTTTTTTCCCAGTTTATTTTGTGTCCAATTGACATGGCATGTTCTGTAATGGCTGGATTTTGTGTTTTCATGAGTTTTGTACTGTCCTTATATTATTTTCTTGTCAGGAGTCTTCTTCTCATTTCTCAAATATATGTTTTGTTGCAGGAACATGAAATTTCATAAATGACGTTTTTGTGTTTCTCATTAGTAGGTTGCTGTTTGTTTTTTTACCAAAATGGACTTTAATGTCTTGTAAGATTTCCACTGGACTTCTATGTTTAATTTTTTGTGGTGTGTTTGAGTTTTTCTCTGAAATTTTGCAGGTGGGGGAGGTAAATGGTAGTAGTGTTAGTGTTATCTTTTCTTTTTGTTGTGGTCTTCTTCAGAGTGTTTTTGATGAAGGAGGATGTGTAACCATTCTGTCTAAAACACTCTACGATCTTATGGCGTTCTGTTTCGGCTACCATTGGTTGAATCTATAGGAAATCTTTCCTCCAATCAGAAACAGGGATAAACTAACCAATTATAACACACTCTCCACAATCCACCAGAGTACTGTAAAGACAGACTACACCATACACTCACTGACCAGAAGACGAAAGGCGGAAGACTTTCTAAACGTCATTCTCTACACTTGTGTTTCTACAACAGGCAGTTGCCGTCCATTCAACAAAGTTTCATCATGAATACTCTGCCTGAACAATCTATCAAAGAAAAAAACTTTAGATGGTCAAACTTTTCAAATTTTAACTGTTCTGAATTTGCCAGTATGTTTATGTTGTATATCAAGAGAGTCTAGTATTAAGCTTTGATCTCATTAAGGAAGAACTTGCTAATAAACTTACAAAAGTAATAGGATAGGTAATTATACAATATTTTTGTTTTCTAAAATTACTAAGAAAATACTGTATTCAACAACAGGCAGGTTATGGATATGGTCTTCCTTTATCTCGTCTATATGCCCGGTATTTTCAAGGGGATCTTCTTCTTTCTTCTTGTGATGGATATGGGACTGATGCCATTATTTATCTCAAGGTAGTATTTCATATAAGTCTCTTTAATATGTAGTATCAAGTATTTAATTTAGGCAACATTTTTAAACAGTGGATATATTTCTTTAATATTAGGACATATGAAAACCACTTTCTGATTAACCCTATTGCCACAGGTATCCTTTACTGCTATACCAATTAGAATAGCATAAGGTCTTAGCTAATAATCCATATTTTAATAATATACAAGTTTTAAGTTCTTAATTCTATAAGGCAATATTTAAAAATATCCTGAATTAGCTCTAGTGTGACCCATGTGATAGTTTTTTCCCACAATATCATATTTTGTGTTTTATGTACATGTTCTGCTCTGGCTGAATTATAAATTTATGTATTTCTTACATGGAGTATGTGTGCATAAAAAAAAAAAAAAAAAAAAAAAAAATAAATAAATAAATTCTTGATTTAATGTCACCTTGTCTTAACATGTGGGATTTAGTCATTGCTTGGTGTTATTGTACCTTACTAATTATTTGGTTAATCTATGTTTTCTGGAAAATATTTTGGCTGTATATTTGTGGTTAAAAATTTTTTTGGACACTTTCTTTTTGAAATGGATTTTAGAATTTCAACTTCCTAATGGCCAATTTACGTTGAGATCTAACCAGTTAGTGTGAAATTTTATTTCTGTTGGGTCTGTATTGGGTAACAGTTAAAGCTCAACAGGTGTTTTAGTCACCTAACCTTAAATGTTGAAACTTGCTTACTTGTGTTAAATTTTTTATTTAATAATGAGTCATTGAATGTTTTGTCTGAAGGACTTGCGTAATGCAAGATAAAAGCTAACTTTTACATATTTGATTTTAACGTGCTTATAGGTTTGTAATTTAACATGGGGGATTACTGAGATGTAGCATTTATGTTTGATTCTTTGAAAACTTCAGTGACAACTTGGTTCTATATTCACAAGTGATGAATGTATATATTTGTGATAGTTTAAGTTGTTATAAAGCACCTTACTAATAATTCTTAGTGAGTTGACATCTTTAGCTCAGTTGGTAGAGCACTTGCCTTGCATCTTAGAGGTCTTAGGTTTGATTCTGACCAAGGAAATGATAAAAATCTCACAGAAAATTGTGCACCCAACTGGCAGTTGTCCACCAACCCTCAGATAAGGCCAGAGAATGAGTTTTGTTTCTAAGAGGGCAAGAATGTGGTAGCTTGTGCAAGTAATCCAAGTCTCAGTCTTGCTCATGGGGGAGTTTTTTTGTTGTAATTCATTTTTATTTAGCTCTAAATGTGACTGCTTACCTGCCATAAAGAATGCTCTAGCAAGTTAAATAAAGGGGTATCCCACTAAAACTTGCTAGTAAGGTACTTTTTTACATTATAAATATAACCTAATAACAATTTATAGATACAACAAGGTACCTATTGGTCCATCTCAGCTGTTCTATCCTCTAAACTCAACTAAAACTATCAAATAAATAGGATAAAAAATCTTAAAGCCAGGCTTTATCATTTATATAGTTATCAAGCTTTCTCTTAAACTCTCATAAATTTACTGCCTTCACATCATCGAAGGCAATCCATTCCAGAGGCAAACAACCCTGTTAGAAAACAAAACTGTCTAAGCTGAAGAGGATTCTTAACTTGCCAAAATTTATATTTGTCCTCTAGTCCAACTATTCTTACTGTGAAATATGATAAAAAAAATGATTCATCAACACTATTAATTCCCTTTAAACACCTCAGTCAGATCCCCTCTAAATATCTCAAGAGAAAACAATGTCAGGGATCTTATCATATCTTATCACATCCCCCTCCATTCCTGGCACCATTCTAGTAACCCTCCTCTGAACCCTTTCCAACAAATCAATGTCCCTCCCAAGGTAAGGAGCCCAAGACTGAACACAATACTCAAAATGTGGCGTAACCAATGACCCATGTAAGGAAATCATAACCTCTTTAGACTTGTATTCAATATTTCTGTAGATAGAACCTAAAATCCAATTTGCCTTACCCCTAGCAACAGCAAATTGCTTGAATGGATTAAGAGTCTGATCAACCATTACACCAAGATTCCGTTCTTTCATGACATTAAGAATATTCCCTTACAAATAATACTTATAATTCAAATTATGATAACCCACATGCATAGTCTTGCATTTATTATAATTAAAACCCATTTGCCATTTATTGGCCCAACTCACTATATGATATAAATCCTTTTGCAAATCAGCAGCATTCTCTTCACAGCTAGCAACACCCAAGACCTTAATATCATCTGCAAATGTAAGTAATTTATTGACCATTTCTTCATCTACATCATTGATGTAAATAAAAAAGAACAAAGGTCTTTAGACTGAGCCCTGAGGTACCCCA